TAAGTTACAAAAAAGATACACAGACAGAAATAGTTATTCTATTCAGCACAGTTCTTTTCTCAGCCATTTAAAGAAATCATAATCTAACATGTACCTAGCTAGATTACTTACTAAAAGTTCTAAGACTCCATTCCTGGTCTATCCCCGGCGAAGACAGAATATAGACAGACACACAGACCCTTTGTTTCTCTCCCTCCTCCCAGCTTTTGAAAGTATCTTGTCTCCTCATTGGTCATTTTGGTCAGGTGCCAGCGAGGTTACCTTTAGCTTCTTAACCCTTTACAGGTGAGAGGAGCTTTCCCCTGGCCAGGAGGGATTTCAAAGGGGTTTACCCTTCCCTTTATATTTATGACAAGTTCTGTCCTCTTGAAAAAGGAATCCAAAATTCTATATACTATTGTATTCTGTATACACTGTAATATCTGATTGCCTTCCAGTAGTGCATTAAGCCACATGACTAACTTCTGTCATGTGGTGGTGGTTCTCTCATTCTCTCCCCAGAGGAAGAAGTATGTGCAGTGGAGCGTCTTGGTTGGTTTGTTTTTGTTTTTAATTATTTATTAAATAAAAGTAATCTTTACACATGAGCAGTCAGAAGTGTGAGGAAAAATGTATATAGATGCTTCATTGTTTATGGGGTCAAAGGTATAGATATTAAAAAATAGAGTAATAGACATTCTAAATGTTTTTTTATCGAACCAGCTTTTTTTAATCAAAGGTCAGAGCTGCTTCAGACAGTTCTGTTACACACATTTATAATGTGCATTGTCCTAAAAGCTGTTTTCAAATATTTGTTATAAATCCCACTGTAGGAGCTTTACAATAAATCAATAACAACAAAGAACAGGGGCTTTTTTAAATGAAAGAAATGAAAAGTGAAAAATCTGGGATTATTCTGATTTAGCTTCCTTTACTAAAACCATAATTCTGTTCTGTTCTATATAGGTTCTTATAGTGCACTCATCACCATAGTAGCTGAACACCTTCCAGTAGTGCATTAAGCAACATGACTACCAATCAGTCATGTGTTGTTTTTCTCTCATCATCTTCCCAGAAGGAGAAGCAGGGGAGTGGAATGTCTTATTTTGATAGGTTGGTTTATTAAATAAATATGCCTGTTGCTACTTGCTTATATTAGACAAGGCAAGGTCAAAGAAATGTGCCTTGCACTTGGAGTGGAAAGTGGTGAGGATTCTGATGGTCCTTAGTTACCGGAATTCATTCCACAGCATCGAACCATCCCCAGAGAAAGTTCTGTCTCCCACATAGACAAGCTTTACTCTGTGCCAGAGAAGCTAAGTTGTCGACCACATTCTTCATCCTGGAGCTTTAGATGGTCATTTAGGTATCCTGGGCCCAGGCCATGGAGAGCTTTGAAGATAGGGATCGAGACTTTGAATTGATTCAGTATTCTGTGGGAAGCCAAGTGTAGAGAACAAACAGGTGTAATGTGTGCATGGTAGCCCGTGTTGTTGAGGAGCTGCATGGCACCATTTTGTACTAGTGGCCCCAGTAATCTATTGTGGTGATTTTTAGAGATTGTCTATGCTTTTTTTTTAGTTTAAAACCACCGTCCTGAGTATTTTTATTTGAAAAATAAAACTTGTGAAACCGGCCACCTAGACTGTTTCCTCTGAGAGAATGAAAAGTGACAACCATACTACTGTGCTGCATCTCACCTCCTTTGGAGGACTGGAACTAGTTCAAAAAGAAGTACATTCATAAAGAGTACCATTTCCTGTTTTTTTACTGGATATCCTAATGCAAGATTCACTGAGTTTTTAAAAATAAGCTCTTTATGATTTTTTTAATTTCTACTTGTAAAAAAGTCAGGCAGTAAGTAAGTCACCTTTCCAGAAACAGATTTGGACTGACCATTTGACATTGTACTTCGTACTGTATAATTGCCTTTCTGGTATTTTTCTGTTTGTTAATCATAGTTTTGTCCATTACTTCTCATGACCATGGCTTAGCAAGGGGTTATTTATTATATATTTATTTCTTGCTGAAAACCCTTAACATTTCATGTGTAACAGCTGATTGCACTTTTGTTTTTGAGACAAAACACACAATATAAATTATAACCCTGAAATCAATAACTGCGTTCTTTTAAGTTAATAGTTTTTCATAATAGCTGGTTAAATTGTTTCCTTAAACTTGTAATCATTAAACTAAAACCAGTTTGAACCCTCCTAAGTCCCTGTGGCCTTTATTTGTTTATGTTTTAATTGGCACACTGATTTGAAAGCAGGAAATAATATAAAAGTGATTGCACTGATTATTTGAGCACAAACAGGATTCAGAGTACAAGAGTTTGGCACATTACTTAATCTTCTCATTATTCTGCATTTTATTTCCTTTGCAGTTGGTAGCCTTCATCCCAGCAGCTTTTCTACTGCATCCTGTTTCCTTCCTCACACAGAAGTCAAGCTCTGACGTACCTGACTTTGTGTTTCTCCCTCTTTGGCCTTTATAATAAGAAAATCCATTCTGTCTGTAGTTATATTGTTCACACCTAACTTTTCTCTCATTGTACAGGGTTCAATTCACTTGTAAAATGCTGAGTTTAGGTATTTAAGCATTTAAAGGGAAAGAGGACTTAGGAGGATGAAGAGTTGTAGATGCATAGCTGAACAAATAAGGGTGTCCCCCTCTACTGAATTCTGGGGATTCCCATCCAGTTTTTAATGCAACAGGACACAACTAACTGGGAAGCCATGGAAAGTCATGCATGTTGCTTTGATGTCTCGCTGGGAGACTGCATAAGGACTGTTGTGTCCCTATTAAGAATTAAGGATAAGAGACAATCCCGAAGAATGGAGTCTGTTGGATGATGAAGAAGTTCAGGGGGAGGGCAGACAGGGAGCAGAATCATTACTGATTTGTAGTGAAACAGGAGGGAATGGAACAGAACTTCTTAACTTGCTCCCAGGCAGCTTGGCTGTCTCTATGGACTGCTGGGGATATGGGTATCCCAGGGAGCCTAGCACCCCACCAGGTTTGAAGCAATTGAATATATGGCAAGTGGGGAAGAAACTAGTACAAATGGCTCAAGAGACACAACAATATTGTTATAGTAACTCCTCACTTAACTTTGTAGTTCTGTTCCTGAAAAATGCTCCTTTAAGCAAAATTATGTTAAGCTAATCCAATTTCCCCATAAGAATTAATGTAAATAGAGTGGAGTTATGTTCCAGGGAAATTTTTTTGGACAGACAAAAGACTATACGTGTGTCTGTATATATGTATACACACATTTTATATATATATATAAAACTGTTTGTTTAAAACGTGTGCTGTGTGTGTGTGTGTGTGTATAAAATACACACACACACATATACACTGTATAAGTTTTAAACAAACAGTTTAATACTCCACACAGCAATGATGATTTTGAAGCTTGGTTGAGGTGGTGAAGTCAGAGGGTGGAAGAGGGTGGGATTTTCCCAGGGAATGCCTTACTTCTAAATGATGAACTAGCACTTGGCTGAGCCCTCAAGGGTTAATACATTGTTGTTAATATAGCCTCATACTCTACAAGGCAGCAGGAATGGAGGGAGGGGAGACAGCATGGCAGAGAGAGACAGAGACATACACCGAGTGAGTGAGTGAGAGACACGCATTGCCCCTTTAAGTACGTTGACTCCACTCTAAGTACACTGCCCTTTTAAGTAGATCAGCAAGTTGAGACAGCAGCTGCTGCCAGCAAGCTCCCTCCGTTCTGATCCCTGTCATGTCCCCCCCTTCCCCCGGCTCTATGGAGGTGGGGTAAGTGGAGGGGCAGGAACAAGGGAAAGGGGGGCACCCTCACATTAGCACCCTTCTTCCCACCACACAGCAAGCAGGAGGCTCCCGGGAGCAGCTCCAAGGCAGAGGGCAGGAGCAGCACATGGCAGTAGGGGGAGGGACAGCTGAACTGCTGGGCCATTGGTAGCCTGCTGGGCAGCTGCCGCACAGGGAACTTAGGGGAGTAGGGAGCTGATAGCAGGGCTGCCGGTCTACCCTGGCTCCAAGCCCCCACCAGCTAACTACAACAGACTGCTCTTCCTGCAAGCAGTGGACAAAGCAGGTGGCTGCCAAACAACGTTATAAGGGAGCATTGCCCAACTTTAAACAAGCATGTTCCCTAATTGATCAGCAACGTAACAACAAAAGTTAACCCGGACGACTTTAAGTGAGGAGTTATTGTATTTCATCTAATATGGACATTTTCCCTTTGATATTTTTAACTCATGGATTAATGGTTTCATAGATTCCAGGGCCAGAAGGGACCATTGTCATCATCTAATGTGACCTTCTGTATAGCACAGGCCATAGAACTTCCCCAAAATAATTCTTAGGCCATATCTTTTAGAAGAAACATCCAATCTTGATTTAAGAATTGTCAGTGATGGAGAATCCACCAGGACCCTTGGTAAATTGTTCCAATGATTAATTACTCTCATTGTTCAATTGAACAGTATCAATATGATTGTATAGGTATTTAGTATTGTATTTGTTTAAATATTGTCTGAGAGCAGATGATTGTGAATAACCCTGTCTTTCAATTTTGAAACTGCATGTCTGTTCTGTAAAAGCTAGAAATGAGCCACACATTTCAGATTTGGATTAAACATTCCCAAAATTCAAGGGGTTTCAGATCCAGGTCCACCCCTATCTAGTAAAAGTATGTGAGAGGGAATAATAGAGGGAAGGTTTGTTTGGGTTTTTTAAAGTATTTTAATGTACATAACTACGCTAAAATAGTTGTAACACAGGACTGGACGCTACTAAAAGATCTCAGTTAACTTTTTTATGCAGTCTGCTTGGGTGACATATTGTAGTTATCAGGGAAAAGAAAACTTGTTGTGAGCAGTAAATGGTTGAAGATAATCAAAATCATGTAAATAGAACTCTGGAGGTCTGGCAAAACGAATGCAGTTGGATTTTCAAAAGTATGTGGCATACTAGAATAAAGTGAAGCATCCCTTGCCTTTAACTGAGTTCTTTATCCTTAACAGTAACTGAAGCTGGTTTTGGTGCTGACATTGGGATGGAGAAATTCTTCAACATCAAATGCAGAGCATCTGGCTTAGTTCCCAGCGTGGTTGTGCTTGTTGCTACAGTGAGGGCTTTGAAAATGCATGGAGGAGGGCCAAATGTAAGTATCTGCACCTTTCTTGGAACACAAATGATAAACCTTAAAAATTGTCATTAACATTTGAAATACGTATAAAATTCTGAATTTTAAAAGTGGCTGGAAAAGCTCTTAATGTAAACCATTGTTTAGAAATTCTCATTCCTAAACTCCCTCATCACACTGATGTCCATTCCTGAATTTCCCTAGGAGATTATTGGACTCAAACCAAATGAGTAAGGATTAGATAGCTATGAAGAATTACTAATTATTAGAAAAGGGAGTGAAGTTTCTTTATATTTTTTTTAAAATCCTTTATATACATTCTCTCCCTTGCCTCTTAAAATAGTGATTTGTAAATCTCAGTGGTGTTAATACCTAAGTGCATGGTTGTTACGAGCCAGAGAGCTTGGCAGCTGAGGGGGAGAGAGGAATTCAGATTGCAGTGTGCTTAGTGGAATCAGGGAGTTTTGAGTCTCTTGTCTTGTGACTGGAAGGCCTAAGGCTTTTGCCACTGAGGTGGAGGGAACTTCCTCCCTCTCTCCGCTGTAGGGGTGACTCCTTTTCTTCTCCAAGCCACGTGATACCAACAAATGTGTGGTGTTCCCCCATCCCCATTATATCACTCCCTCTGCTAGGGCCAAGCAGGGTCTTGTAGATTGCTAATCACAGAGGCACTCTTCACTCAATCAGGCAGAATCAGGAGTACTCCTGTGAGTGATTGGCACTCTACTAACCAGGCAAAGAGACTGAAAGCCTAGCAACATGCTTCAGCTCCTCTCCCCAGCATTCTGAAAGGATCTGATACTGCCAGGGAAACAGCTTTCTGTGGAGCCTCATATTGGGGGAAAATTCCAGAGCTATTTCTACAACCACAGAATTGTGGAATGCACAGAGCCTTCCTTACATCTAATCATCTCAGAGAGAATCAGTGCTGAGATTTTCCCTTATTCATACCTTTGGGTGCCAAATTTTCTAAGATTAAAAACCCAAAATATTGTTGTCATAGTGGTACCTGTGTATCATTCTCACCCAACACATACAGCTCTTTTGTCTTTTAACATGTTGTTCCTCCATAAATTTCACGATGGTACGTTGTGGTGAAAATTTTCATTCAGTCTAGCAAAAGGGGAATTTAAACCTGCCCTTTCTAACTATGTATTGATTTTATCTAACCCTGGTCTTTCACAAATGGATGTTGTAGGTTGCCCCACACAATATACTGTACAAGGACGATATAGGCCAAATTGTAGATCTGGAAGGTTAGCTATAAAAGTGGCTCTATAAACCAAACCTTTGTGACTCCTTGATATTTGTGCTGCCAGTCTGATCCCAAGGAGTCATGTAGAGCAGCCTTAGTGTTGCTCTAATTTGCAGCTGCCCACAAGGCATGGTTCCATCAGCCACAAGAATGCTGTGTCCATTCCTGCTGTCAACTGCTTATGCCCTCTGTGCTGGATTGCTATCCCCTCAGTCACTTGGTTAATACAGAGTTCCACCTTCTTTATGGTGCTGGGGAGTGCAATATGTATATATATGAAAGATGACCATGTCTGTGTCACCTGTGATCAACTATTTAGTAACTTTATACCTAAATCTGTACACTAATCATGTGGCTGGAGGAAAGGCAGTGTTTCCAATTCCTGTAAACAGTATATATTTTCTTTCTTTTATGGTTGGGTAACAGTCCCTGATCTAATTTAGACATCCCCTGAGAGCTGTATAAGTAATAGCAGCATCCCTGGGCTGCCTGTGTACTGCAGCCCTGCTCTCAGTGTGCTCCTTACACCAGAACTTTCCAGGGGTCCTTGGAAGGCAGCATTATGGCAGTCTTCCACAATTCCAGCAATGGGAGAATCCTCCTTCAGCAATGCAGGGGGGCCTCTTTATGCTATTCCAGCACTTTTGCCCAGTGTAAAGTGACTGCAGTCGGGGTGAGCATCTCATTCTTTGATCTTTTTAAAAAATTTTCACTCTCTTCCCCAATGTGGGGGTGCACTTGGAGCCAATAGCGTGACTTTTCCTAAACCTTTTACTAAAATGTATACAGAAGCCAGTTTTCTATTTCAAGAAATAGGTATATTCTTAACATTGGTTTGTTACCTGAAAACGCACGGCAAGACTTTCACTATAAATAGGATTTTAATTGTATCCTGATATATTTACCACCTTTGTTGTAGATGGATTATACTGTAGGATTCTGCAAAGGTGTGTTTTACCTTCTCAAGTGAGTTATGACCAAAAATAATCACTTAGAATACCTACTCGTTATCTGATGTACTGAGTTTCTAAGAAGTGGGTATTTTAATATGTGGATTTCAATTGCCATTTTTTACGTGCTCATATTTCCATTCTGAAGAAATCCTAAATGAAATTGTAGGAGTTCTATACATGTTAATAGTGATTTTTTTTAAGCAGTAGAGCAACCTCAAATTTGGTGAGGAACCAGCTTTTAAACTCTGATTATACACTGAAAAGTGATTCTAAAATGGCACCACGGTCTTCCATGTTTGCATCTCACTGACTCCATATCCATTTTGCTCCTTTTACATGTCCCACGAACTCGGCCTTGAATTTGAAAGCCGAGCAGGATTCTTGCCGTCTCTCATATCATCACTGATAAAAATAGGATTCTACAGTCAGAACCTAGTTAAAGTTCTATAGATGCCCAAGCCAGGAGCAAAGCCAGCTCACTCTCCTAAAGTTGTCACAGTTCAGTGCAATTGCACCTGTATTCCCCCTCCATGGTCCCTCAGGGGCACCCACTCTAGGCACCTGGCTTCTCAGGTGTCACATCTCTTAGGCAGAAACCCATGTCTCTCTCCCTCCTGACCAGGGTTTTTCCAGGCTTCACAGTTCCCTGCCTACAATGTGATATTCCCAACAAGCCAGACTACCTAAACAAGCCAACATCTGTGGTTTGCTTTCTCTTTAAAGGCTGTGAACAACATAATTGACCGAGTTATATGTTACCACACAACATAAGCAAGCTCATTTATTCTTAAGGTGAAAGCATTCCAGAGAATTTATTCAAAACAATAAAAGAATCTACACACATGCTAAAATGTTTACCAGAGGTCCTCCCAACTCCAGCCTCAGGCTCTGTCCTTCTGTCCTTTGAGTCCTTCAAAACCCACAACTGGGTTTTTCCCATGGTTACAAGTTCATAACTGTCTCAGATTCAGAACTAGAACCCCCAGGAACAGATCAGTCTTTCCTTTATACTGATAAGGCTTGGGCCTTTGATCTTGACTGCATATAATAGTGATCAGTAGACAGTGGCTCACTTCTCAGGGCAGAGCTTCAAAAGGCTGGATTTTTGCATAATGGGAGGTGAGGAATTTGCATTCACCTCCTCCTAGATATTCCCCAGGAAAACGACTTCACACATTTTGATCCAAAAGTCCATTCTTGTCTGGCACGTTGTTCAGCATAGTCCTTTGAATCCCCAGTCTCACATCTGTCACATCTCCCCTGTTGAAAGGTTACATACAATCCCAGCCCATACAAATATACGTAAACCATTCAATATGATGGATCCCAAAGATACTTAATTCAAGAAGGTATACCAAGGAAATTGCCATATCTGTCTCAATAGCTATATTTGCCTTAGAGTACAAACATTGTATAAAGTTGTAAAAATTCATTGTGTCACCAAAATCAGCAGATAGGATTTAAAATGCACACCGAGAACTGATTTCTTGAGTAACCAGTTGCCATTTTTTCATAGTAATTTTCTGACCATTACTGCTTTTTGGGGAGGGGAAAAGAAAACCCTGACACTGAGTCACTGCTGTAATAAACTGAGAAGACATAAATTCTTATCTTTGGGTCAGGGGAAAGTGATTCATTTTGCCATTTGCTTTGTACAGCTGTAACTTTCTCTAGGGCCATGGTCTGTGGTTGTACTGAACTTTTGTTGCTGGAAAGGAAGGTCTTATTGTTTCGTATTGGCAATGGGCGTGATGTTTTGGAGTACAAACGTTTTTAAAAAGTTGTACTCCTGACCAGGCAGGTAGTTGACTAACATTGTTAGATGATTGTTAATTTTACTTGCTTACGATTACAGGTAACTGCTGGTGCCCCTCTTAAGAAAGAATATACAGAAGAGGTAAGAGCAATTACTGTAAAACTTAATCCTGTCCTTTTTAAAAAGTTTTGATTTGAAAAGATCTAAAACAACACAGTTGCCAGTTACTTTGCAAACGATAAAACAAGAGGAGAGTGGCGAGTTTAGATGCCGGCAGTAGATGCAGCAAGCGCTTCTTGATTGAGGTTTTATGATACAATTTAAAAATAAAGATGAAAAATACCTACAAAGGGAAGAAAATCTCTCTATTTGCTGCATTGTGTGGATTGAGTGCAATATCATAGTAAGATAGCAATGGTAGTGTTCAGACTTAAGAAGCCATTTCCTAGTGTTAGATATCTTTGATCTTGGAAGTTACTTCAACTGAGTAACTCTCAGATATTTCTAGAGCACCCACCACTATAGTATTGGAGAGCTGAGCCACCTATAAAGGAACTCTATTTCACTTCAGTACTCTGATGAGAGAGATCCACTGTAAAGTGTAGCCTCCTTTTTTCCCTGATCAAAAGATGTTGTTTCATGTTAAAAATTGAGTTTTTCTATTTACCTCAAAACAAATACACTTGAATTCAGATTATCAGACAAATATGGTAACTGTAGTAAAAAAGTTGTGGAAACTTCTTTAACGTTCCAAGTTTCGGGAGATGAAAATTGTTCTTGGTATATTATCTGAATTCATGGACTAACCAAATGCCCATTAAGGAATCTACTTGTGTCATTACCATATGAAGGAACCTGATTATTCATTGCATGTGTACAGTTACCTTTTTTTCACAAGTCTTTTATTTACCCTTTACAAAGGCCCTTTTGTAAAGGCCCTTTACAACTTAGGAGCTGAAATGTTGGCATTTCTTTCCCTTTTTCTGTCCCTCCTTCCCTTGACATTTGTAAGTAAAATTAAAGTATATATGAAAATCTATAGAAAGTAATAGTTATATTATCTCTGTTCGTGCTAACGACAGGGAGCCACTATTTCCAAGCCTCACCTTATACAAAAAACCCCATAAACAAATGGCCCTAGGAAATGAAACAGGAAGAGATTCTCTAACACATTCAAAATAAAGAGTCATATCCAGTCTCAGCTGTTAGGATAATGTGCTGACTCTAAGGCTTAATATTAATCCTGCTCTTCATGCCTGGTGTTAGACAGCAAGATGGCACAGCTCAAACATAGGCTATATATGTTTAAAGAATAAATATGTGGGCTATGTTTCATCTTTGTGGATAAAGCCTTTGTGTAGCCTATTACTTGTGCTTTAGCTGCTGTCTACTTTTTTTTAATTACAGTTTTGCAACCTGGTTATTACTAGGTTTAGTATGTGTTTCTGATATAGAAATCTACCAACCACTTTACTTCTGTAAGGCATTGCCATGGTATGTTTGGCTTATAAAAATAATACCTAGTTCTCCTATAGTAGTTCTAAACAGTGGATTCAGGAATAGAGGGATTAATGAAGATAAAATATTTTTTATATCAGTCCTTACGTTACATGATGGGCAAATTCCTATTCCAATGTACTTTTCCATGGAAAATCAGTATACAGTCTTGGCAAAGCCTAAAACCTCTAAGGGTATGTCTACACTACAAAATTAGGTTGATTTTATAGAAGTCGATTTTTAGAAGTCGATTTTATACAGTCGATTGCGTATGTCCACACAAAGCGCATTAAGTCGGCAGAGTGTGTCCTTACTATCATGGCTAGCATCGACTTACAGAGCGGTGCACTGTGGGTAGCTATCCCACAGTTCCTGCAGTCTCCGCTGCCCATTGGAATTCTGAATTAAGCTCCCAATGCCTGATGGGACAAAAACTTTGTCACAAGTGGTTTTGGGTACCTGTCGTTGGGCCCCCCCTCCCTCCGTGAAAGCAACGGCAGACCATCGTTTTGCGCCTTTTTTCCGGGGTCCCGTCTGCCAGCCCCGCTCAGCCCGCTGCCTGCCTGGATGATCGGAACCCCAGGCAGGCAGGAGGCTGAGCGGGGCTGGCAGACGGAGCCCCAGACCGGCAGCGGGCTGAGCAGCTCAGCCCGCTGCCATTCTTGGGCTCCATCCACTGGCTCCTGCCAGGCAGGGTCCCAGCCGCCAGCCCCGCTCAGCTCGCTGCCATGCTTGCCATACCACTGCAAGCATGGAGCCCGCTCAGCTCACCGTCACCGTACGTCTCCTGGGTGCTGCTGGCAGTTCTGCATTGCTACACAGCAGCAGCTCCTTGCCTTTGCGGCAGATGGTGCAGTAGGACAGATAGCCGTTGTACGTCTCCTGGGTGCTCCTGGCAGACCTTGGTGAGGTTGATCAGGGGTGCCTTGACGGACATGGCTATCCTCCTTTTAAAGCACCGAATGGGAGTGACTCCAGGTCATTCTCGTTTTTAAGTTTCGTCTCATGGAGATTCTGTCCTGCCTGGAATATCATGCGAGCTGGAGGCTTCTGCCTCAGGCTGCTCTCCCAGCCAGCAGCACGGCGTGGTCACACCTACCCCAGCCTGCCCCTTGTTCCCATGGCTCATGAAGCCTGGACAATAGTAAGGAGCAGTTCAATTTGTGGAATGACAAATCCAGAATGAAGGATTGCACTCCATGGGCCACGTTAAGATTATTTCAGAGTCCTAGATAGCATTTCTTCCCTATAAAAGGCTTCATGAAAATTTTCCCCTGCCACTTACAAAAATGTTAATTTATCAGAGCAGCTGAAAGGGTAAGGAACCTGGGACTATAACTTAGAGAGAGCTGCCATATTATTTAACTCATAATTGATATAATTCAAAGTAAAATTTCACAGCACGGTCTGTTCTAAGACTAAAAATGCAGGAGGGGAGTCCGAGAAAGAAACAGTGACCTGTTTCCACCCGGTTTCAAACCGGGGACCTTTCGTGATAACCACTACACTACAGAAACCCATCTTGAATGGGGCTTCTCTTTTTTTGCCACAGATTTTGTTGAATGCACAGGAATGTTTTCTCTAGCTACAGAAGCTACCTAATGCAATGTCTATACCTATGGCCTTCCTGCTCACAAAGCGGTAATGCCCCCTCCCAAGGCTGACACAGCGTGGAGTGTATGTGAAACACTGACCTGGCTTGGGCAGGATCTCTAGTGAGGCATGATACTTTTGCTGTTAAGCAAACACAGCAATTCTTTCCTGGCCTCTGCCACTGAATGCCCCCATGCATTAAGCTGTGCCCTGTGAGTGCGGGAGGACTGCATGAGCTCGGAAAACATGTCATCGCGAGTGCGTTTTTTCCCGCCTTCTAATCTGCAATAACATCAGGGACGGAGATGATAGGGGGAGCGTAGAAACATTCTACGTTCTACGATTCTGGAGGGACTGCATGGTCACCAGTGCTGCTGAGTTCGCCACCCTGACCAAACAGGAAATGAAATTCAAAAGTTCCCAGGGCTTTTCCTGTGTACCTAGCTAGTCCATCGGAGTTCAAAGTGCTGTCCAGAGTGGTCACAATGATGCACTCTGGGACAGCTCCCAGAGGCGACCCCAAATTCGAGCCGGCGATGTAGATTTTCGCGCTAATCCCCTCATCGGGGAGGAGTACAGAAATCGATTTTAAGAGCCCTTTAAGTCGAAACAAATGGCTTCATTCTGTGGATGGGTTTAGGGTTAAATCGATCTAACGCTGCTAAATTCGACTTAAACTCGTAGTGTAGACCAGGGCTAAGTCAGGAACAGGATGGAACAACCTAAGAAAATCAACAGTAGTAAATCACCTGGACTGTATGCTTGTATGTTCACGTGTGTGGGAAAGAGAGAGCTGTCTGAGTGGGCTTGTCTTGTCTTGTATTTTAAATGTCCCAAGTTTGAGAGGCTTATGATCTGAACTGCCTCCCACTGAAGTCAGTGGGTTTTTCCATTCACTTCAGTGGGAGTTGGATGGGGCCTCATGTCAGGTAGCATCCCTGTCAACCATCCTCTCTGGGAAGCTTTTGGTATTTGGGCCTTTAATAGAATGCCCGCATTAGTGTTATCTCACAAATTAAGTGGCATCACACAAAGGATTTTGATTTGAGTGAACTCTCCCTGCATTTGAGCTTGGAAGGAGAATGAGAAAGCTAGTCCATCTCCTCCTTCCATTTGTCTTCCCTGGGCCTGGATATGTGGTGAAAAAGGATCCTAGGAGGAACCAGATGAGATAGCGTCAGTCCTGTGATGGAAAGCTTCAGCAGCAAATGTCTTAATGAACTGTATTACTGTGTAACTCCTTTAGATGGAGCCATGAATTAGAGTGGGGGGAACTGGCAGCCGTCCATACCACTGCCAATGTCAACTGGCCCACAGATGTTTTCTGACATCTTGTTTATTGATTGGCAGCCAATTGGCAGCAACTCTGTCTTGCTTGTGTCCCAGAAGGGAGCAATCTGGCAACGTGCTCAAATGTAAAAGATCTAGACCCTGCTCAGTTATGTAAATGCGGCTGCTGCTACTGAAGTCAGAATTAATAGGATACATAAAAGTATTTTGTCTGAAGCCTATTATGAAGGTTACCCATAAATATAAAAATAATTACAACTAACCATGTTTGTTGTAATTTCAGGAAATGTCTTTGGCTAGAAAAGATGTGACACCTTGCCATTTCTTTCCGTTTGTGTTTTTGTTTGTTTGTTTGTTTAATGTAGAATCTCCAGCTGGTAGCTGACGGCTGTTGTAATCTACAGAAGCAAATTCAGATTGCTCAACTCTTCGGAGTTCCTGTTGTAGTTGCTCTAAATGTCTTCAAGTAAGTCAGTCCACCCTTTACTCATGCTAGTGGGCCCAAAGCTCAAGCTCATTGTTGTTGCATGAGGTGTAATCACTTACTTCCTCACCTCATATAGTATATTAAATATATTGCCACTCACAGCTGGGTGAAAATCCAGGAAGTAAAATTAGTATTAACTTCATATACCACTCAAAAGAGTTACAAAGATTCTGCTGGTGTTGTGACCTAATTAAATATGCCTGTTCAGTCCTGAAAATGTTTTAAAATTCAGAAAACTGTAATGCAATTTTCAGCGTTTTATTTAGAGCACCTTCCTATTTACGTTTGTTTGTTCAATCCACCAATCATGGCATGAAGAGAGAAGCTTTTAAAGGAAAGAGAGAGAAGTTTATATTTGACTTGTAGAAAGGATTTCTTTTAAAAAAAAAAGAGTAAATTTTTTATACATCCCGAAGCATATAGAGATTTAAAAAAAACCTCTAGCTGCCTCTTTTAGAGGTTTTCAAATCACATAAATATAGAATGGTATTGTATGTGATTTGTAATACTTATTTAAATGAAACATTCCTACTTCAATGTACCTAAGACAGTTGGGGTTTTTATAAACATTTAATAGTTGTATGATTTCCATAACTAACTTGTTTCACAACTGTAACTACAGAGCATTGCTTAACAAATAAGGCTGTACAAGAGTAAATAAACAAAATAATGACAGAACTGTTTGGTTGGCAGAACTGACTCCCATGCTGAAGTTGATTTAGTCTGTGAGATTGCAAAACAGTCTGGAGCATTTGATGCAGTACCCTGCAATCACTGGTCAGCTGGTGGTAGAGGAGCTGTGGAATTGGCTCAGGCTGTGAGAAAAGCTGCCAGTCAGGAAAACAGCTTCAAATATCTGTACAACTTGGAGGTAAGATGATTAAAAAGAATGTTGCAATAGTTGCAGATGGAGAACAAAGAGGATGTTGCAACAAATCTATTTAGTGTTCCTTTCAGATGTCAGCTATAAGAAGGTGCTTGCTTGGCTTAATAATATCCCAGGCGTTGCAGATTAAAAAATAAAACTATTACTGAAGATGAAATAGTGAGTACTTCTGGCAGTACAGGACTGCTCGCTGCATGATAGCATACTTACTAGCGCTTTGTCTTGTTTAGCTTTAAATATCCCCAGTGATGAGGCTTCTGCTGGTCCTAGGAGGCTTTTCATGGCATTCAGCTGAAATTTCATTTTCTTGATGTCATCCTGTTTGAAATGCATACACCTGTGACTCCCTAAAGTGTTTCTTTCCTTCTTTAGGCAAAGGATAGTTTCTCAAGACTTAGGTTGTATGCACATCTCTACCATTGATCTGCTCTCTGACATTGAAAAAGTCACTTACACTCACTGTTCTTCAGTTTACTTGTCTGCAAAGTGCCCAGTGTTACAGCATCCCCAGGTTGCCAGGAGGAGCAATTGCAGACAAAGTCCTTCTTGGCCCCTACAGCTGCAGGGTGGAACGCACTCAGTGCAGACAGAATGTTTGGAGAATTATATTGCCAAGAATTTTGCTAACAAGCCTCTACTGAGCTTGTGCAAATAATGGTTTTCAGAAGCTTACAACTTGGCCAAGTCTGGGTGGATTTTCACAGGAACAGCAAAATGCAACTGTCTAACTCCGTGGTGGCACCCTCCCCCACAACACTGCCAAGTTTCAATCTCTGTTTCAATAGATGAAGGTGCTAGAGCTTATCAAGAAAAATACTTGTAAGACTTTTTTTTTAACATAAGCAAAACCAGTTTATTTTCCCTAATTTAATTCTTGCAAATAACAGAATTGTTTCTGCTGAAACTTTCTTAAAATTTCAGCCTGTGGCAGACATCCAGCATGGAAAAATTTCATCTGGAATTGTTGAAGTTTGGTAGTTATAAGCAACTAAAAACAAGGTCTCATAATGGAAAGTGTCAAGCAGTCTTAACTCTAAGTGTTGCTATCAGTCTTGTCTGTAATGACTTGGCCTGTTCATACTTAGAGCTGAATAATTGATTTCTTCGGTTCAGTGGCTGATCTGAAAAAGAAAAAAATAGGTTTGTTTCGAACCAGAACTGATTTTTTTCAGTTTTCCTCACCTGAAATAAAAAAATAAAAAATTGTTTGGCTCTAGGGCAGGGGTGGGCAAAGTTTTTGGCCGAGGACCACATCGGGGTACGAAACTGTATGGAGGGTAGGGAAGGCTGTGCCTCCCCAAACAGCCTGGCCCCAGCCCTCTATCCGACCCCTCCCACTTCCCGCCCCCTGACTGCCCCCCTCAGAACTCCTGACCCATCCAAACCCCCTGCTCCTTGTCCCCTGACCGACCCCACCCCCTATCCAATGCCCCTGCTCCCCGTCCCCTGACTGCCCCCCGCCACCCCATCCACATCCCCGCCCCTGACAGGCCCCCGGGACTCCCTTGCCTATCCAACCGCCCCCTGTCCCCTGACTGCACCCCCGTCCAACCACCCCTTGCTTCCTGTCCCCTAACTGCCCCCCCCCCCCCGGTACCCCTTGCTCCTTATCCAACCGCCCACTCCCCGCCCCCTTACCAGGCCGCTCAGAGCCCCAGGAGCTCGCAGCCTCGCTGCGCAGCGGCGCAACTGCGGAGGAGGGGGGACAGCACGGGATGGTCCTGGGGTTCAAGGGCCAGGCAGGATGGTCCTATAGGCTGGATGTGTCCTGCAGGCCGTAGTTTGCCCACCTCTGCTCTAGGGGAATGTTTGAATGTCTGTCTGGAATGAAATTTTCTAAATAAAAGGTTGATTTGAAACGACATGTTTGAAATGAGAAAAGGAGCACTTGTGGCACCTTAGAGACTAACCAATTTATTTGAGCATAAGCTTTCGTGAGCTACAGCTCACTTCATCGGATGCATACTGTGGAAAGTGTAGAAGATCTTTTTATATACACACAAAGCATGAAAAAATACCTCCTTCCACCCCACTCTCCTGCTGCTAATAGCTTATCTAAAGTGATCACTCTCCTTACAATGTGTATGATAATCAACGTGGGCTATTTCCAGCACAAATCCAGGGTTTAACAAGAACGTCTGAGGGGGCGGGGGGGGGGTAGGAAAAAACAAGGGGAAATAGGTTACCTTGCATAATGACTTAGCCACTCCCAGTCTCTATTCAAGCCTAAGTTAATTGTATCAAATTTGCAAATGAATTCCAATTCAACAGTTTCTTGCTGGAGTCTGGATTTGAAGTTTTTTTGTTGTAATATCACAACGTTCATGTCTGTAATCGCGTGATCAGAGAGATTGAAGTGTTCTCCGACTGGTTTATGAATGTTATAATTCTTGACATCTGATTTGTGCCCATTTATTCTTTTACGTAGAGACTGTCCAGTTTGACCAGTGTACATGGCAGAGGGGCATTGCTGGCACATGATGGCATATATCACATTGGTGGATGTGCAGGTGAATGAGCCTCTGATAGTGTGGCTGATGTTATTAGGCCTTGTGATGGTGTCCCCTAAATAGATATGTGGGCACAGTTGGCAACGGGCTTTGTTGCAAGGATAGGTTCCTGGGTTAGTGGTTCTGTTGTGTGATATGTGGTTGCTGGTGAGTATTTGCTTCAGGCTGGGGGGCTGTCTGTAGGCAAGGACTGGCCTGTCTCCCAAGGTTTGTGAGAGTGTTGAGTCATCCTTCAGGATAGGTTGTAGATCCTTAATAATGCGTTGGAGGGGTTTTAGTTGGGGGCTGAAGGTGATGGCTAGTGGCGTTCTGTTATTTTCTTTGTTAGGCCTGTCCTGTAGTAGGTGACTTCTGGGTACTCTTCTGGCTCTGTCAATCTGTTTCTTCACTTCCGCAGGTGGGTATTGTAGTTGTAAGAAAGCTTGATAGAGCTCTTGTAGGTGTTTGTCTTTTTCTGAGGGGTTGGGGCAAATGCGGTTGTATCGCAGAGCTTGGCTGTAGACGATGGATCGTGTGGTGTGGTCAGGGTGAAAGCTGGAGGCATGTAGGTAGGAACAGCGGTCAGTAGGTTCATTTCCAAAGTGTCAAAATATTTTGTTTGGACATTTAAAAAAAAAAATCCGGATGAAAGTATTTGGTGAATTGATCCAAATTTGCAAGTTTCAGTGCCCTCAAAGATGTATTTTTCAGCAAATTTACTATATGTCAAAAAAAGGTCCCCATTTCTATTTATCTTGCTTGAAGAAGCCTTAGTGCTTCATTTCTCATCTATTTCTGACAAGTGGGCACTATTTCTGATGGGGAAGATGGGGGAGGACTTTTTCGTGACTCCTTTCTCTTGAATCTCTGCCTCTACTGTTTCAGTTTGTTTTCCTCACCCCCAGGCCCTTATCACTCCCCCTCTGTCTCCTCCTTTCCTTTGGCACCCTCATCTCGCTACTTTTCTCTCCACCACCTCTTGTCCACAGAGATCTCAGAGAGGGCAAGCACCTGTAAATGGGCCAGTCAGCAGCTTTATAATTACCTTAGTGGAATGAAAAAAGGGTATTTGAACATAGGGCATAGTGGGTAATTTTAGCCTGACAATACTGGGCACTGAATTCTTCTGCTCAACTAAAGACCAGGTACCTCATGGTGACAGTCCCAAGGAGATGAATGTGGTATAAAAATCAAGAGAATTAGATATACAGGAAGTAGGTATGCAGGATGATATAGGGGTATTTTCAGTGTCTTTCTGCCTCAACTTTGTCCTAAAGGGACACGGATGAGAGGATAGTTGAGTCTTCATTCCTGTTCCAGTCCTATCCAGAGACTGCCAAATTCAATGAGTCTTCTTTGGTTTGGTTTGGTTTTTATGGGGATTTTTTGCTGAGGGTCAACAGACAAGGGGCAGTGGTGTGGGGAAATGCTTCAGACACCCTTATAGCCAACATGAAGGAGTGGAATATTGACAAACTCATGGGAAACCCAAGCTCTCAACAGACCAAAATGGAAAAGGACCTGGTGGCAAGGATCCCAGTATTTCGAGATCCAACAGAGAAACTGGAAAGGAGGAAACAACGTGCCGCACTCTGACTCAGCAATCCAGATCTGCCCCTTCCATTGGGAAATGTCTACCCGAGTTGTGACAAGATCTGTGGATCCCAGATCAGTCTCATTAGCTATCTGCGGATCCACCAGTGATAACTGGCTTTCATTTTATGAAAGCCAATCATCCGCGAACTCCAAGAGATCACCAATGGGGTTGCCAAGGGATCAGGGTGGTAAGGGAGGAGTGAGAATATTGCAGAAAGCCCTTTATTCATCTCTTACTCCTTCAGATTCGCTCTTCATCCATTTAGTCCATTGATGTTCATTGATTTCCCCTGGTGTGGATTAATTTCAGATATGCATGAAGTCCTAACCACTTCCAACAAGTCAAGTTACTTTGGGAGAACTTAAAAGCCCCAGGGTAAATTCATTCAGTATCTTAACATTGTGTTCCAAATGTTTCCCAGAGTCGGGTGAAAAAAACTTTAAATCTGATTCTTGGATCCTTTTTATTTTTCTCACTTACGTAGTAAAACAAAAGGTTGTAGTATATTGTTTTTGTGTTTCAAATTAGGAGAATACTTCAAATCAGCTGAACTTTATTTCTCTGAATTTTTTCTAAGCAGCATGTCTAACTTTGTATTGCTTCACATCATGTTTCCAACTTCGTCTTCTAAGAAAATTCTGTTTTCACATGTTTTGAAATCTGCATAGTGTATGAAAAACAAAGAAATATTTTCAAGATGAACTGGTGTGATATAGTGTCACATACAGTCAAATAGTGGTAGGAATTGAGAATCAGTTACTCTGTTGTATTTCAGTCTAAATGTAGTCACGTGCACATGTAAAATAACTTTCTTTTCAGACTCCACCAAGTTATTCTTGCTTATAAAACAAGCTACATTAAATTTGATTTTTCCCCTCAACGGTTATTTTTTTAAACAT